AACTCTCAACAGCTACAGAACATTTTTTTTTCTGTGTTAATTTAATCATACAAATATTCATTTATACATTAAGGAAAAAGCTTCCTTTATCTTTACCCCCAATGTGCTATCATAGGACTTCTTGCAGACTCAATGAGGCAACACACCATCCTGTTCTACACATGCACTCCCCCTGGAGAGAATAGACAGGCTGCAGAACCACCCACGCACTCACACACGAAAAAAAAAATTAAACACACAACAGAAACCCAGATGTGGGACAGCGTGCATTTCCTAACCCCACAGCCTCCAGCCGCTCCCGTGCCCACGCGCTCCAACCGCACGGCTTTGCCCCGCGGTGGGGGAGCCGCATCTTCCAAACCTTGGAGGGGTCTGAATCCAACGTTGCCGAGATGTGGGCAGCAGATTCCAGCTCTCCTCATTCCCTAACATGGCATTGCCAGTTTTGGGGTAACCCTAGGGATATCGTGCTCCGGTTTGCCTAGGCTGAGAGAGGGTGCCTGGGCTGCCATTGCTCGCGTCGTATTAGCGATACGACACATCCGAAGTGGGTCCCATCGACACAGGGATCCATTTAGAGACCATCAGAGATGTTCTGCATTATCTTTTATTCTTTTGGAGGGGTGGGGGTGTAAGGAAGATCTATCTTTCCCTCCTCCTCAGGACTCCAAGACAGACAGATGTCAGACTGGAGCCAGCTGCAGCCTCTCCATCACTGCACCCTCCCGTACCATCCCTCTGCCAGCCCCATCCCTCTGCCAGTCAGGAACACCAGCCTCACTGGGGTAACAGTCTCTTTACTAGTTCACCAGTCTCCACCCAGTAAGGATTTCCTCCCTTTCCTACCAGGCCCGAGTTCTGCATGCCCAACTCACCTGGATCCAGCTCTCTGAGCTGCCGCACACACTTCAGGCTCACCAAAATATTCGGCATTCAGCACTTCTGAAAAACCAGGCCATTTGTTTCATGTGTCTGATGTTAAGACTCTGTGAGTTTGAATGTATCAGCCCTACAGAAACCAGTACAACCACAGTGCCCTGAAGTCACTCGGAGAGCGCTGAATATATCTCAAATCCCCCTATTTAAAAGCTGGAAACCTGACAGCAAGAGCAATTTGAGGGCTGGCTGCGCCACTAAGCTCCAAGGAACCAGAGGAGATAAAACCACCTTTGGCCTCAGTGAAACAGTTTTTACTCGAGGTAAAACCCAGAGGTAGAGCAACCACTAATTTACACATTCTTCCATGGTCACAGCCAGGGTTACAACCCCAACCCTCAAAGCATCCGGAGCACTGTGCCATCGTTTGCAGAGAGATCACTCCCGCAGGCAAGGGTGCTCGCGCTCGGTTACCTGGGGAAGAGTGGCGATGAGAGCAGCAAGAGGTTGCAGATTTCAGCAGCAACTGGCATCTGGCCCTGCCTTTCTTCACACTCTGGAGTAAGTGACCCTTGTCACAAGGACACCATGGACTGAAAACACTCAAGAGGAGAGAGAATTCAAGTCTGAGCAGAACAAGTGTGCCTTCTGAGTGGGAAAGCACACGACTACTTGGGGTGCATGCAAGGTGTTTGTTTTTTTTTTTTCAAGAAAAGGAAAATTTAGTCTTAGGAGGAGCACAGGAACACAAATGTGGCAGACATTATATATGGGAGGAGCATATGTGGCTGGGAGCAGAAAGCCAGTGCAGGGGTCTCCGAGTTCAAGGGTCTCCCAGGTGCCTGAGCTGACACAAAGCGAAAGTTGCAGCACCAGCTACACAGACTCAGATCTTAGGTTTTTTTCCCCCCTTCCAGTACACAGCTGATAAAAGGAGCTAATAAAGATAAAGAATCACCTCGCCACTTGGGCAAACGGCAGTCTCCAGTGTTTTAGACGCCTTCAGAAGGGAAGCGACGGTATTGCAGGAGGTGCGATGGTCAGGCGTGCGTTCATGCCTTCAGAGCTTGCTGCACAAGCCGCTTGCTTGGAAAGCCGGGAGTGAAGAAAGAATCCACTTGCCAATGCTACACTACAGTGATGCAAATCATTCCCTAGACTGAATGCTGAGGAGATAACTAATCCAAGGCAAAATGATGTCACAGGACAAGAAGCAAATGCTACAGCTGCACTGAGCAGCGCAGAACCACCTTCCGCGGGTTGACTCTGCATCTTAACACTCACCCACAGCTCTAGCAAGCTGCCAAGACAGACCCTGGTGCTCACCGAACTGCAAGTGCAAATGGCTAGCACTCCAAATCCTGCAGTGCCTCTTCTATGCAGATCATTTCTTAGATTATACTTGTTTCTCCCAGCAAACAGATTTTTGAAGATAACAGGTAACAGTGGCCTTTAACAACCGAACCTCTGAAATAGAAACACAATCTATTTCCCAATTCTTCCTCTGTTGGACACAAGGAACTCCCACTGTCCTCCACAAAATCCATCTGTATGCACTAAGATTAAGAGTCCTTGGTAGCTGCAATGAAAATGAATCCCCCATTCAAAACCAACCAAGAAAATACAGCTAGTCAAGAGCAATCGGTGTAAAGCCACACACCATGCAGCAAGCCTGCGCTCCGCTCCAACAAGGAGAACAAGAGTCTTCACTGGAAAGACTGGGAAGAAGGTAGTGGGAGCTTTGCATATTACTGTATCTTTGGCAGACGGCTGTTCCAGCCTTGTTCACGTTTCTGAATAAGGCTGTCCCCCCTCACCTTGCTCCCCTTCACCAGGATCTGTGGTGACATAGCACTTTAGAAATCCACCGCAGCACTCGAAGCCATTCTCCTTCCCCGCACACTGGGCTTCCCAACCCGTAACTGGAGGAAAATACATTGGAGGAACAGCAGATCAACCCCAATCTTTAGAGGAGCAATTCCTCCTCTAATACCAAGCCCTGGAGAGCCCATTTAGAAGATAAGATCCTCAACAAAGCTACAAGCCAGGACAATAAAGGTGAGTTAATACAAGGCAACAGAGTGGAATCCAGCCGATGATGCTAACTCTTGCTCTGCATTCAATAACGCAAACAATTAGCCTCGGAGCTAATACTTTATCACAGGAGAAATGAATGCAAACTTACACTCTATAAGAGAGATGAGATTCAAAATTAAAAGGACATGACTTGTAAAGCTTTGCAACTACTACCAAGTGAATTACAGCTACAGAAAGAGAGTTTCCTCTTGGCACAAGACTGATACGCTTGCGTGGTTGTTCTAGGCACAGCTACTGTACATCGAGAGTTAACAAAAAGGTATTTTAAAATGCTAACCACATAGGACAGCTCTGGAACTTTAATAATCTGTTTCTTACTAATATGGGTGTATATTTGCGTGTACTTCATGTACAAGGGGAAGGGAAATGAGCCCTCCATGTTATCCTAGAAGTCCCAGAGTCTCTCTCTCCAACTTTTGATACCGAGACCCGGTCTTCAGCATGGTTTCCAATGACATGCAGGACAACTAACAGCAACACCCAAACCAAAAGAAAAAAAAAAAAAAGATTAAAAAGTTGGTAACTAAAACCAGCAGATGATATTAAAAATGGAGAGGTGGGTACAGACCCAACCTCTCATTAAAAAAAAAGTCTGACAAAAAGAAGTCACTGCACAAACCCCAGAAGATGCTAAGCAAATTCCCATTCAGTCACAAGTAAAACATGACAGTTCCATAAAAATGCACGCTGTCCCTTATTTAAAAAAAAATATGAACAAGAAACAAACAGAAATTAAACATTTGCTCAAACTACAACCACTCTGTAGGCAAAATATTTTTTTTTAAAGATGGCTTTTTCATTTTCATTTTTCTTTTTAAGCTACCTAATTATGTGTGAGAACGATTTCTAAAAAAAAAACCCCATGGTGTTGGTATATTTTCTTTCTCATAGCATTTAACAACACTCCTGAAATCCAGCATTCACACATGCATACTTAGACTTTGTATTTTCCTCTGGAAACAGCTAGTCTTAAGTTACTGGGCTTTTGTTTTTTCTTCTTTATCCAGAACACGGAGGCAGAGAAGGGGGGGGGTCCACGTTGTGTCTGTCTGCCACATGAATCCCCCTCCCTTCCCCCAAGTCAGTTCTTTGTTAAATTCTCCTCTTGTCGATACCCGTTTTGTGTTTTTGTGTTTTAAGACTGTCCGAAGGGATAAGGACCGTGGAAACCCTGAAAGAAAGTTGGAGACATAATCAATTTCAACAGGCAAGAAATAAAATTGATCAGTGTACACCTACAAACACCGACCATCCCATCCCAGTACTTCCAAACCAAATGCAACCCTTTACCCACCAGTGTGACCTTTGCTGCCCAGCCTTATGAAACGCTCTTAAAACGCAGGTTTTTGTGCTCCTAGCTGGTTTCCCCAGAGATGTTAGATGCTATCCACTTACCTCTTTCAGGTGTTGTTTAGGCCAGGTAATAGCCAAGTGTTACTGGGCCACACAGTAACTTGGATTTTCTACACCAGAGCAAAAATCCCCTATATATGTTACAATACCTGTGAGGCCAAGCAACTGCACTTTTCCAAGTCTATTCTAAAGATTACAGCAAACAGTTAAGTAAGAGGCTGTAACTGGTAGACGAGTCTAAGAAAAATATTTTAAAAAGCAAGTTTTGGAAATCCATGTTCCCACAACTGCCACTTTTGGTCTCTCAAGGTAACAATATGCATTTTCCTCAAGTGAAAACCAACCACAACATTTAACCAAAAAAAAAAAAAAATCAAAATGCTTACTACAGAATCCATTTTCCCTCCTTTACATCCTGAAGTGAGTCACCTAAATGACAGATGTAGTAACAGGTCTCAAATTAACAGGAACTCCTTTCTGTAATTTCTATTGTTCAAATCAGCTAGACAGGGTTTCATCAGGAAGCAAAAGCAAGCAACCAACAGGCAGGCGAGAGAATCTCCCAAGTCACAGGGAGATAAAGTTTGTCATAATGAAGAAGGTGTACAAACTACACACAAAATCCTCCTGTAAGATCCAGACACATACTCAGATCAGAAGTGAGGCAAGGGATAAAAGCTCATTATATTTCATTGTCAAAGTTGGAAGACTATAATGCAAATGCTTTTTTTTTTTTTAAACACAGTCCAGCTTCTTTGCAGCATGCTGATGAGTAAGAGAGCCAAGAGCGCAATCAGCACAAAGCCATTCTTGGTCTTTAAGTAAGCTCTGACTTCAGTTTTCACCATTTTGCCTTTAACAGGGCAAATCTGAAAAGAAACACCTTTTCCTGCTTGTTCTCCTGCTACTCTAACAACCTTGCTGCGTGAGCCAGAGAGCCATGAACCAACGAGTCTTTAACATGACGCGTATAAAGAAAGTATCAACTTCATTAGCTTGAGTTGCAAAAACCCAAGTTCAAGAGCTCTGTTTTGTATCTATACTACAAAGGAAGTGCTGTAAGAAGCCTGTCATCTTGCTACAGCTGGTGAGAAAAAGTTAATTCTTTAGGATATATCAGGTGGCAAAATACAAGACAATGGTAAAATGAAGCATCTATCAGCAGCTCTCAAGATTCAACCAAGAGAGGAGGATTAGCAGACAGTTAAACAGGACATCTCTCAAACTGCGTGGGAAGTACGGAAGCCTAGAAACTTGGAAATTGCTTTTCACAGACAGAAATACATGCAAGTGATGGAAAAACAAACACACTTCTACCCTAGGAATATGCTGCACTCCCAGTTTGTAAAGCAAGCTTTTTCAAAAGATAACACCCAGCAGATTCCAGCACAATAGTTCACCTCAGAAAGGAGAAGCTCCCACCAAAATTAGGAGACAGATATTCAACATTTCTGGAAAATACAGTCACTGAAACATAGGGAAGGGGAAGGGCAGAAGAGAAACATTAAAATAATGTGAATAGGTGCACAAAAAACCCCCAAGAGGACACAGAAGGAAAACAATGTTCCAAGCAAGATCCTAAGCAGTCTCACCTCAAAGGTCTTAAGCTATTGCACTTACTGCTCTACAGAAGCAAAACAGGATTTGTTGCCGATTAACAGTACAGACACATTTGCCAGAATTTGCTTCATCTTTTAGTTACCTGCACATAAGGCTCTGTGTGCAGATACTGACTGGCAAGCACTCAGGTGCCTCATGAGAGTGGTTCAACCATCAACTGCTCCCAGCTGTCTGCCCCCCTGCTGGGGGCTACTGAGGGGGCTACCGACTGCCCAGCAGAGCCAGCATCGTAGCGTGCACATCTTTTACAGTTTACGTCACATGCAAAACCTTGTTGATTTAATTTGTGCATGCTTTAAGCCAAGACATCCGTATCACCCCATGGCACAAAAGAATGAACACAGTTAATCAGTACACAGTCCAGAGTCTTCAGCTTAAGTCAGACATGAGAACAGTTCATTCATCTTTTTGTATGCAGAGAGAGACCCTGTGAAGAGGGTATTAACCTTGTTTTCAGGGAAACCCTCTGGATCTTCAAATACTGTCTCATGTAGCATCTAATTTAAAGCTACATAATTATGCTAAACAGGTGTTAATTAAACCCAAAATTTAGCTCACCTTTAGAGCATCAAATTATTGATTATATACAGCTTTGTACCACTTGCTACACTGCCCTACAGGAGCTTCTCTCACAAGCAATTCCAAGAACAGTCCCAGAAACTGTGACCAAGCTTAGCTTCTCCTGATGCAGTTAATTTCATCGCGAAAAAGCCCCAAAATCTTTGGTTTTGGGATTGACACCCTTTACTGCATTTCACTTACCCGTGAGATTTATTAATGTAGAACATACAAAATTAAAAACCACTTTCTTTTCTTTAAGATCAAGAGCTGACTTGGTTTAACATCAGACCCTGAGCAAGAAACTCACTCCCCCTTGTGAAATGAGAATACTTTCTTTCTTCTTCCTCAGTAAGGTGCAAACTCTCTGCAGAGCAATTGTTTCTCACGACATTTATTCAACGTGCACAGTGTAATAGTGTCTTGATACCTGAAAACTTCAGTTACTGCTGCAATGCAAATACCACACCCCATTATACAACATTTTCAAGAATTATCCCTTGTATGCAATGCTTTACATCATAAACATGCAAAAATAATTCTGCATACAACTGCAGTTTTTCTGAGTTATATCAGCTGAAGAATTATTCACACTATTTTTGGTGAATTCCCTTCTAGTCTCAAAATGAGATCACTGTCTTCATGAAAAGCTTAGCTGCAGCTTTGCAAATTTACTTTCTGCTCTTCCAATATCTTCCACAGAAGTAATTGCTAACTTGCTAGTGAAAGCATACTGCCTATTCACACAGATTAAATGTGAGAAGAGAGGACCATATTTTTTCAAGAAAAGACTCTATGTGAAAATCATTGGTATAAATTATCATTTGACTTCTGTATCTAGAAGGAAACAAAGAGGTTTTAGAAAGTTAAAGGCCTTTGTAAATACTGAGCTCTTTAAATGAAGGCATCTGTGCTAGAAATAAAATGAAGATTAAGTTAATCTTTCATAAACCATCACAACACAGGCTTTCAAATAGCTATCTTTATTTCACCTTTGAGACTGAGTCAAGATCAATAAAAGGTACACTTCAAGAGAGACAGGAGTTTCTGATGCACAGCGGCAAAGCAATACAGGAGTCTCCCAGTGTACACTGACAGTAGCATCAGACCACGCTACAAGTCCCCGTTTCCTCATCGCCTCCCGGGCCGCTCCTAGTCAGAGCTTCTCCAAACTACGCAGAGTTCTTTTGACTAACTTACGTAAACTGAACACAAACAGAAGAAGAAAGTATTGAGCACTTTTTTTTTATTCCATGCATGCTGTGCAAACATGGCGTGGCAGTTAAGACCACCAGGAAGTTAAGAACCTTTTCACAGTGCAGCCACTCGTAGGGCTGGTTTAGATGCACATAGTTGATGAAGTACACGAGGGCTCAGGTACGCGATTAAGTTACCATGCAACAACTTAGCTCTTGTAACTTAATCAGTGGCGTGCTTTTAGTCTGCAGAGATAAAAGAACAGGGGAAACTCTGTTGGCCTGCAATGGAGCAAAATTAAGCTAAAAATCAGATTATCTCACATTTCCCACACTCCAAAAGCACACAGACTGCCGGTTTTCATGGATGAACTAACATGCAGCATCCAAACACACTGGTCTTTCACCAGATAAGCAAACCAGCTCATGCAACATCAGTTTAGCCTGCAGATGGTATGCAGCAGTGTGGCTGTCAGAGTAGCTATGGTAGTTTTTGAGTCAAACTTTCTCCCACTTTGTTCTAAATTAATTTAACCATGTGGTAACTAGCCCAGTTTGAAGCCCAGATACCAGGATGGAAGGAAATTCTCTTCTCCACGGATGCAAACATTTCTGGGGCACCTTCCTTACCCACAAATACAGTTTGGAACCCAAATAGTTTCCAGTGGAAACACTGGAGTGCCACGGTTTGGAAGAAGTGCACATCTAGAAGCAACGGCAACTTTTAAACTCAGAGAGGGGAAGCCGGTTAAAGGCTCTAAGGATAGAGAGAGGTTTGCTTTCCCCTTACACATAGAAAACTGTCAAGTAGCATGGATCGGAGTTCAGCTCTGCACAGAATGACGTGAGATGGGGAGCATAAATACAGCAGGAAAAAAGGTGTTAAGACTTTAATTTTGTGAACTCCAAATATGCTTATATTTCATTGGGCTTTTACAAGTAGCATGAGTAATGAACAGAACAGATTAATACCAGTCAAGCTGTAGAATGCCCTTCATCACGGCAGTGACTGTGCAAATTGTTCTGTACGGGCAAATCTTTGCAGAATCAGAACTTCTACATGCAGTTTTCTGCACTACACAGAAAGCAGCAATTCCTCAATTCATATAGGCAACGATTTAGAGAGATATATATATTTTTATACATAGGTGGCAAGTACAATCTGAATGTCAGTATATGGCTATCCACTTCAGATCTTTTTAGACATTTAAACCTGTACGTTTCTTTCCTTAGTTAAATTTCTTAACTCTAATTCCCCAGGCACTGTAAGACTGCATCTTGAGCTTTTAATGTAAAAGACTGTCACAAGAGAGCAGCAGTGACCTCGACAGTGTTGCTATGAGACAGGAGCGAGTAAATAGAAGGAAGCTATATTAGCCTCATCTCTCTCGAGAATACAGAGAGAAAGCGATTGCCAGAGAGGAGCATAAAATACCCATGCACGGGTATATCTGGACTCTAATACAGCTCATCCCTCTCCTGAGATAAGCGTCCTATCCTGCACTTAAGCACATCTTTAATTCTAAGAACATGCAAAAACTCCACTGGGAATAGATATAACAACATGCTTAAAGCAATGCCCTGAACACAGACCCTGATCTACAACTTTCCAGCAATTTACTTGATAAGGTGAGCAGGGTGGACGCGAGGAAGGCATACACTACAGCAGGAATAGAGATCACAATCAGTTTGTTTCAGCTATATCACAGGTTTCATCTTATCTGCTTTTAGGGAATTCAGCATCTTGGTTTTTTTTCCTAGTAAAGTTTGCTTCACTGAGCAGAGCATCCAAACCATGTACTCTATGCTGCTGTATAAAAGCATTTCGAACGTTTCCACGCGTGTGAAACATTGATATACTTGTCTAATCCAGCAGCAGATGGCACATCAGTGTCACTGAGATCCTGACTCCAATGGAGAATTTTAGAGGACAAGTCACACCTGCTCAGTTGCACCAGAGGGAAAACTAATACAGACAAGGTCTGGCAACTTCTAGTGTGTTTTACAGCTGCAGATGCCAGAAACTGCTAGTTTTATCTCAAAGATTTAATGGTCTCATGCAACTGCATGACTGGGGTTCTCCACAATCTCTTGGCAGAGAGGAAGCCTCCACACTGACCTAAGAAATATTTAAGGGCTTATATTACTTCTAAATACAGGACATAGGCCCTTCTGAACACCTTAACTAGACCTTATCCATCCCCTTTGCTATATCTCACCAAATGGCGTGCCAAACATGACTAGGGATGCCCTCCATTATCCCGGCACATGAAAGCAGACAGAAATATTAGAGGTCCTGCCCAAGATAAATAAAATCCAGGAATCCTAACGTGCAGCTACGTAACCAACCCACAGTACTCTTGTCTGCTCCTAAAACTTGAAATAAAGCCTTTCACATCAATATTCAATCACAAGACAACAGCTCCAAATGTAGTAGTTTTCTTTCCCCTTCTCAAGCAGTAGAGTTCAGGTCAAGTCCCCGGGGAAGACGGGCCAGATAGAGCTTTTCCTTACAGGTACTGGAACAACATCTGCTGATCAAGTGGTTTAATGCTTCTGATATCACCTCCAATGAGCCCTTTCCCACCTAAGTGGGAAAAGGGCTCCTTCTTTTTAGGAAGAAAAAAAAAAAAAAAATCTTCTTTTCCAGGTTGCAGGAAGAAGGGTTGCAATAGTGCTAGACCTAAGCCGGGGAAGGTGAGCATGTTCACCTGGCAATTTTAAACGAGACCAAGTATCTAGGATGTCAAACCTACTCAAACTTGTTCACTACAGAAACAGTACTGTACCAATATGAGTATTAAGTCTGTGGCAGAATGCCTCTTGCCCTGGACAGGAAGGGCAAGGCTAGAACAGGACTCTGATCTTCAGACCTACCTTAGTAACAGCGTCCAAAGGAAAAAGCTAACTTGTTTTATTATGTTACAAATAGAAACACTGTAGTAAAGACAAAACCCCTCAAAAAAAAAAAAAAAAGATCAACTTTCACATAACCCCACTCCATCTCCAAAAAGAACCATAAAGTTATCCATTCTAAAGCAAGCAAGAAACAAAATTTCTGCTTTTATCTGACACAGTCCCCCTCAAATCCACCCAAAAATACTCTGTAAATACAAAAAGAAACAAAACAACCATCCCCCCAAAAAAGCTGGGGGAGGAGGGGAAGGCCACCTACTTTACATCCGAGGTTACACTATAATGGCCCATGTCTCGTAAGAGTACTGATCATGAACTTTGGGTTACTAGCGAAACTAGCTTGCTTAAATTTAATGAAATCCTCTCTGGTAGTGCTTCACTCTTCTTTTTGACTTCTCTTTTCCACAGCATAGCTGACCTTTGCCATGTCCTCTGCACCTCCAACAGCTATCGGTCTCTTACACCTACGTTCTTAGAAAAGACAAAGCACCTACTCCTCAGCCAAGAGAGTCTGATGGTACACTTTGCCTCCTGGTGCCCACACCACTCTCCTCTCACTAGGGAGGCTAAGGATATATACCACGGGGAGAGGCCTAGTGAGAACTGAAGGCCACGTTACTGCCAAAACCCTACACCCAGAATTTCTACGCAGGAGCTTTCTCAGAAGCACATATATTAGCGGTTCCACATCTATCCACCCGCCAAGTGCATATCAACTACGAAGCAATTGCCAAGCTCTGCACTCAGAAAATAGGCAAGGGAAAATAAAGCCACCTCCAGCCTAAAGCCTACCACCAAAAGTGGAATGGAGTTTTCCCACCCAAATTAAACCTAGTATTTTAGCTATGAAAGGCTTAGGTAAGTCCACTATCTCAAAGCTGTATTTAGTAACTGATTTTTATTTTTCATCAACTGATACACAGAGCTGTTGCCAATCTTTGCTGGGATGTGTACAACAGACAGTCGCAGAGCAGTACTCCCCACCTGAAGCACCTGAGGTAAAGTTCACGCAGAGGAGCTATACCAGTATATATATGGCCTCTGCAGTCAGACGATGGCCTGTGTCTTCAGGGAACACTGCTATCCACCAAGCAACCACTAAAAGGCAGTGACTTTCAGTCCCTGCTAATTCAGGTTGTACTTGAACTGATAGGTGAAAGGCTTTATTCTTTAATCATTTCCTAAGCCACCCTTTTCACTTTTAGAGAGCGAGAATCTTGAAGCAGGAGCCAATACAGCCTATAGCAATTTAAGTTTGGGGTGCAAAACACAAAAAGGGTGATTGGTAGTCTGTCAAACAGTTAATCCCACGCATGCCATCGGTAAAAAAAAATAAATGCATAGCCCTGGTGCAAAGTAGGTCACTAAAATATGATCCACTGGTAGAGGACAGGCAGTTCATCCAGTTAGGAACTAAAGTGCTGTAGGTGAACTAACATTAGGGCTTTATTAAGTCATTCAGCAACCAAGTGTTATTGTCCTACACAGCCTGCTTAGAGTACAGTAAAGCATTTTTAAAGGATTTGTAAAAATCAAACTAGCTTGACATACAACAGTACACACCTACACATACTGGCTGCATTAACAGGTGGATTTTGAATTGTAAATAATCCTGCAATTCATTTTTCACACACAAGCAAATAAAAATAGTCAAAATATCACTCAGACTCATATAGCATCCACCAAGCAAGCTTTTGAAAGTAAAGATAATTTAAAAGTCACCTACAATTATAAACAAGACAAGGACACAGACAGGAACAGCCCTTTGACTGACTGTTCCTTACAGGTAGCTTCTGGGAATCAAAGTGTGGGGAGCTCTGTAGTCTCCCCACACCAGCTAAAAAGAAGTTACCTGGCTAATCTTCTGTTTTGGGAGTGTGGTTATTTTTTCCTCTTTTCCAAATTATGTAAAACTCAGGAGCACATCTAGAGAGATATTTTGACTTATTTGCACACGCAACTGGAGCAGGCTCCAGCCACTAATAGTTACAGCACCCAGACAAGATTATATAAATTTTAAGAAGGACTTGAAGCAAAACCAAAAAGGTGGATCTGGTAGAGTCTGTCAGAGGCAAAAATATTTTAATATAACATGAGGAGTTGGCAGAGTCAGACAGTCAAATTCAAAACCTTCCTTAGCAGGTCTGGCAGAAGCAGAAGGGAAGGGCTTTGCAGTTTGTAACGAAGAACTATTACATACATCACAGTCTCATCACCTACCCATTCTCCTGTTCTCCCAGGGCACCTACCTTACTGTATGTCACTACCGACAAGTTGTTCGAGTGACTGCTGGGGGAGAGATTTACAGAGTTTTGTGACAGTCCATTCTGATCTTGTTCAATTTGGTCAGGAGCAGGCCCCCATGTGTTTTTGCTGATTGTGCCTAGCTCGGAACCCCCAGGGTCTTTTAGGTTGTTTTCATCTGGTTGCCTGTTCTTCTGTGGAGAGGCGAATGGGTTAAAGTTTCCTTCTACCTTGCGATGCGGTTGCGTGTTGAACTCTGTTTCAAAGGATGACAGCTGCTGTGTTACACCTAGAAGTCCTCCAACTTCCACGCTGAGGATCACCCAGATGACATCTGTGGAGAAAGACAGACACTCGGGTTGTCACTAGATGAGTTCATGGAGAAGGGGGCAGGAGGAGAAAGACACAACATGAGTTCCATCCTTTACAATCACAAGAAAAAAGACTGATTGTTTAAAATACATTTTTATAAAGCATCAGAAGTACTGGTTAAACACTGATTTAGTGTCCACTCTTGCAAGAAAACCAGGCAAGTTTTACTCCTACTGAACTTACAGGATCCAGCTAAGGACATATAAAAACAGACACGACAACTTGAAGCTCCATACTTCACATTACCAATAGGACGCACTGAAAAAAGAAAACCTTAAGTGACTTTATCCAAGGCTATGCAGCAAGACTGAAATGAGAGCCAGGAGATACCACTGCCAATCTTCTATTCTGATGGTAAAGAAAAGGTAATGTTTTTTGTTTACCTTTGAAAGGCTTGACTATTAAAACAAAACAACAAAAGGGTGACTTCAAAGGTAATTGTGTTTATGACAATTCATTACAAAATATCTCCACTCCAGTTCCGAAACACTTACAGCAGGTGGATAAGATACCCAGGCTTGGTACACTATTACACGAATTCAGAAACTACTGGTTAGAATAAGAAACATATTTACAGTTCTTAGCTAATACATGTCTGTCTCTTGTACATAGACAAGATTGTTGTTTTACTTATCATTTCATCTACACTTCATGCAAACATTATGGTCTATTTACATAAATACATTTCTTGCTATGTATCCAAATTCAGTTTTATTGCTCCTCCTCACCCCCTCCATTAAATGTACAGTTTTGTTTTGCTGCACGGAGAAGAACAACTAAAAAGAACAGCAGCAATACCTTATCTCATCTCAGCAGGTCTAACAACAGCACCTCATGTCACATGCAATTGTTTCCAGGTTTTCCGCAGTCAAGGGTTAACCTGCAAGGGGCTCTTTCCTGCTGCCACTGGTGGCCTGGCGGAGGAGACAGCAGGTACTTTTGCTGTTCGGTTTTACCACCATCGCTTCTCAAGCAGCATTAATTCACTGAAGCTCTCCTTCCAGTCCTTTCCCAGGTTTAACAGGGCTGAGCTCATTGGTTTGCACTTTATCATACAAACATTAAGGTTGGAAAAGGCCTCTAAGATCATCACGTCCAACGGTCAACCCAGCATCACCATGCCCACTAAAGCATGTTCCAAAGTGTCACGTCTACAACGTTTTTTGAACGCCTCCAGCTACAGTGACTCCACAACCTCCCTGGGCAGCCTGTTCCGATGCTTGACCACTCTTTCAGTGAATACATTTCCCCCAATATCCAGTCTAAACCTCCCCTGGGCACAACTTCAGGCCATTGCCTCTCGTCCTATCGCTGGTTACTCGGAAAAAAAGAAAAGAGACCAACACCCACCTCACTACAGCCTCCTTTCAGGTAGTTGTAGAGACAGTGCGATTCCACCTTACAAAAACACGACGTGCTTAAGGACCCCCAGCACCCTGCCAGGGCTGTAACCCGCCTTACAAGTGACATTAAGGCTCCACAACAGCCCAGGCCGCC